CTAACACGTGCACATGCCATTATCATGATGTTTTTGTCGGTACCCAAGTTCAATTTTTGAAAAAATTTACAAAAGATGATATTGCAAGTGAAAATAAAAATGAAAGAAGTTTGAGGCACGGATATATCGTGTTCTCTATAAGGAGATTCAAGTTTACTGTAGCAAATGTTTTTCACCTGTCCAGCAGTAATTCTCTTTGACTTGTCTCCTGTAGGATACAATAAACTTCACAAAATATAACTCAAGGACTCTGGACAAGAGTTGAGTCCAAATCTCAAAAAAAAAAACACCTCCATTCAACTAATAAGAGCTATTTTTTTTGACTGACTTTTATGCACTCTATATTTGTGATATTAGGTTTTAGGCTTAACTCATACTCCAAAAGTTAGTTCAAAGGGAGGAGGATTGCTCAAGCTTTAAAAGATGTCCACTCATCTCATTAATCATAGATGTGGGACTTTTGTCATTGTTCTACAGCCCACCTCATCCTCAGTGCGTATCATCGTAATTTTGATTTTGGGGGCCCCAACATTGTGTGAGACGGATCTTGCTCTGATACCATGTGAAATTAAGTCTTAGATTTCTTGTATCTTGTGCGTAACAAACTAAATGAAGACCACCACTATTTATACCAGAAAAAGTCTTTCTAACAATAAAATGAAATAGTAAATAGTGAAGATAAATGACCTAAAAATTAGATATGTTAGATAGGTTACAAAGAATAATGAATGAATTTAAATTACAAAGCAATAATGAACTGAAATATAAATTGCAATATGGAGGAGTAATGATCATATATAGTTGACCACTTGTTTCTGCCAGAATAATACAACGGCAATAACAATTTTGTAACTATCACATAATGGCCAATAATGTGTATACAAATTGATCAACAGAAATTAGCAATTAGGCACTAATCCAGCAATGTAGTCCACTAACTGCTGAAACATTCCTCATTCTTGTAGCTCCAAATAAAGCAAATTAATATACTCTCAAAATGCTAAATACCCTTTTGCTGGATTGATGGCACAATTCCTCTAGATGTAGTTTGGTATATATGTTTATGTGTATGCAATGTGATTTAACTAAATTAAAGATTTCATATGTTTAATAATACTTTGACAAGTCTTACAATGTGTAGAAGCAGGCATGGTAATAATAACGTGCTGATAATTAATGTGTGTATATTACGTACAAAGAAATTGGCTTTTGTGTTTCCATTTTCAATTCATTTACATCCATCTCTGATCTTTCACTTTCAACATCTCTGCCTCTGCCTCTGGGCCACCCCAACTAACTCAAATTTAGTGTAAAAATTACTTTAGAGGAATTATATATAATGGTAATTAAATTAGTGCTTTGTTTATCTGTTCTTTTGGACAGATATATAATTTCACTGTCACATGCACCATTGATTGACACATCACAAGTCATTATGTGGTCCGATATACTTGTCTTTTCATTCGTCCTTTATTAATTTTACAAAAAAAAAATGAAATAAGCAAGCAAATACTGTCTATAAATAAATTATTTGCATAGTTATAATTTTACCTAGTTATAAATCGTCTCATACTTTAATAAGAACGACTATAAATGGCTGAGACTCATAAACATTAACTGACTTCTCTTTTGCTTTTTTTCTTTTCCTTGTATACAATTCTTCTCAAAGTTATTTATAATCGATCGAACTTATAAATAAATTTTTAAATTTATTGTGTTTTTCATATCTATTTTCATTAGTACTATACTACTAGTATAAAGTTTTTATTATATTAATTTTGGAGTCGTCATTATCCACACTAGGGTATCCACGTGTAGACTGACAATTGTTGGATGCTCTTATTGGACCACAAACATATCGAAATGGAGATGTTGTCCCAAGTCTAGGGATCATATATTTCATGTCCTTGTGTCCCAATAAATCTTGCCATAAAAAACATTTATATATTTTTTACTCCATTTAATAACACATTGCCCATTGTGTGATATAATTATAAAAGCATTTTCAATTTTGTCCTCTACCATGGCTGTCAAATTGATGCGCTACATTTATTCTTTTTTTAAAATCTTCTTGTGATTATTTAAACTTTGTATTGGCAAGAAATTAGTCCCGCCATTTCGATTTCAATTTCAATTGATGTGATTATTTTGGGATTAAGAAAAGATAATAGAAGTAATTTAACTTAAAACGTTTTTTTAGGTAATCTTAGTTCTTTTTTCCCCTTTTTCAAGACAAGCTCCAATTTGCTTTCTTTTGGCTTGAATGTTATTTTAAATATTGAAACTTCATAATTAAAGATAAACGTCTCTTGACATGCATCTAGTAAACCTTGTGTACTTTGGGCAAGAAAAACTTTTTGATCAGAATAATATTTTACTTATGTGATAGTATTGAACGTTTTTACCTGGTTTAACTTTGATATATTTTAATTAGAAAATGGAAAAAAATTATTTTATTTTAAAAATTTCTGACCATTTAGCATTATCCATTCGGTAAATTAAAACTCTTGGAAAGATAAATTCTCTCCTAGGAAGTTGCAACAAAATTAACAACACAAATATTTGAAAAGCTCATCAGTCATCCCTGGCATGCATCTAGTAAACCATTCATTAAAACTTTTCAGTTTTCCAAAACAAATTAATTAATTTTCCTTTACTATAAATAGTCATAAAAGACACCAAACAATCCTAATTCTATTCCATTAACAATAGTATTAATTTCCAAATATATTCATCATATAGTAGCACTAGCTCTGGCACCACAAAAAAGTACAACATTAGATTTGGTGGTCAAATAATTGAAACAACAGTGACAAACAAATCTGCTGTTGCCAATGAATGGGCTGCTTCAATGCTCTCCAAATATTCTGGAAAACAAACAGTTGTGGGCTTAGACAATGAATGGAAGCCCAATTTTAGTCGATACACTAACAACAAATTAGCCACACTCCAACTCTGCATTGACAACACTTGTCTCATAGTTCAATTGTTTTATTTGGACGAAATCCCACAAACCCTCAAGAAATTTTTAGCTAATCCTAATTTCACATTTGTTGGAGTTGAGGTTGGTGAAGACATCCTTAAACTGAAAAATGAATATGGTTTGGTTTGTTATAATCAGGCTGACATTCGTGATGTTGCTAAGAAAAAATGGCCTTGTAGGTATTCACGTCCAGGATTGAAGGATCTTGCTTATGATATATGTAGTCTTAATATGCCTAAACCAAAACATGTTAGCATGAGCAACTGGGAGGCAACAGAACTAAGTGTTAGCCAAGTTGAATATGCTTGCATTGATGCTTATGCTTCCTTCAAGATTGGTCAAAAGCTACTTATGGAAAATTAAAGTATTTTTATCATTTGAAGTGTTTTAAGTATCATGTCTTTTTTTTGTTAGTGATAAGTTTTTTCCCATGCATTTTGTTTTGTTGTTACTCTTTAACGTGTTTTCGTATGCATTTGAATTTATAATGTGCTTAAGTTAAATGATGTTCGAACTTTGTTCAGTTCTTCAATTAAATGTTATATTACTTTTTTCTTTAATAATCTAAAATGTTAGATTAAAAGATACAAAAAGAACTGTCATAACAAAAACGATCCTTATTCGAATATGGAAAGTATAATTCTGAGAGAAGCGTAAAAATGGTAATTGAATTTTTAATTTTTATGATTAAAACTCTAAGAAAATTTTGTATGTGTTAATAAAATAAATTGTTATCTAGTTTTGTTATCTATGTATTGATTTTGAGGAAGTTAGTTTTTGATTTCTGAAAATGTTGCGTAATTAAAACAATTTAATGAATTGCAAAGCTCGAAAGAAAATGATTTTAACTTGTATGTTTCCATTTTTTTTGAGTAAAAATCATTTTTGTTCGTTTATTTATCTTTTACTTACTCAAACGGTAAGTAGATTTGTGAGGATCTTACTAGATTAGTTAATATTTGGTCAGAATAAAAATGAATAGAATAACAATATGATTAATATTAATTTTAATGTTAAATTATGTGATATATTGTTTTTTGATTTATCAATTTAGGGCATCAAATTTTGAATTATCATATTTTTATGATAGTAAACAAGTAAAATCATATGAAAGGATTGAAAATGTGCAAATATTAATTTATATGAACTTTGATGACTGTTATTTCGTGGTTATTCTAAATCAAATTGAATTGATAACTCAAATTAAAAAAAGACGATTTTGATAAGAATTTTGATTTTTTCAGTTATCATATTATTAATTCTTAATGATTTGAGATTATTTTAATGTGTTAATCGATAACTTAATAGTAAATTAAATAATCAATTTATCAATAAACTTCATAAGTTAAACCAAACAACCTGGATTTTTGTTTTTTAATATTTTCCTTTTAATTATTTAGGAAGAAAAGAGCCGTTTAGGTCGAGAACTTTTTAATGAATCTTGATAACAATATTAAGTAACTTTAAAGGTTATTGTTTTATAGTTATTTTATTTATTAATGTAATTGTTATGCCTAGGAAAAATATTGTTAATATCCAACAATAATATATTTTATTGACTTGACATATGCTTTAAGTAATAATAAATAATAGGAGTAATATTATTATATTAATTTATGAATATATTAAATTAATATTTTAAAAAAATATTAAATTTTGAACAATATGTAAAAATACAAAATGTTAAATTATTTTTTCAAATAGAATAAATATTATTTGACGACAATTTTTAATATAATGGATATTTGAGATGTACAAAGGAAATATAAGGTAGCTAGGATAAAGTAAGTATGGTTAATATTTTTATTTAAAGCTGATCATATTCCTTTGTTCATTTTACTTTTACACTTATTTTTAAATTAATTTTTTATTTTTACGCTTTTGACATATCAAGAATAATAATAAAAAAAATCGTATTAAATATCCTCAAAATGGCATCGACTCTACAACTATCTTTTTTCTTTTTTTTTTTGCAATAATTTAAAATCCCAAATGAAATTTAAATCTTTCAAACTTTGGTCATGGTATTTTTCATTTTCCAACGTCCTATGGGGACGGATCAGGATTTTAAAAGACAAACTCTCCTTGAAAGATGAAACAAAACTTCACAAATCCTTTAAAATCATTAATTCTCTTGAACATGAAGTTGAATTAATTAACAAGTAAAAACTTCTTAGTTTTCCAAAACAAACTAATGAATTTTCCCTGCTATAAATAGACATACGATCCGTGTAACAAAATTCCATCAATTGATAAAACATGTACTCATCCTATGGTAGCTCTAGTTCTGGTACCACTTCAAAGTACAACGTTAAATTTGGTGGACAAACAATTGAAACCACTGTGACTAACAAAGCTGCTGTTGCCAATGAATGGGCCAATGCAATGCTGTCCAAGTATTCTGGAAGGCAAAAAGTTGTGGGCTTAGACAGTGAATGGAAGCCCACATTTAGCAACAAATCAGCCACACTTCAACTCTGCATTGCGAACACGTGCCTCATAGTCCAATTGTTTTATTTGGACGAAATCCCACAATCTCTCAAGAAATTTTTGGCTAATCCTAATTTCGTATTTGTTGGTGTTGAGGTTGCTGAGGACATCCTTAAACTGAAAAACGAGTATGGTTTGGTTTGTAATAGTCATGAAGATATTCGTGATGTTGCTATGAATAAGTGGCCTGGTCGATTTTCACGTCCAGGATTGAAGGATCTTGCTAGTGCAATTTCTGGTCTTTATATGACTAAGCCAGATCATGTTTGTCAAAGCAATTGGGAGGCAAGTGTTCTTAGTGAGGCACAAGTTGAATATGCTTGTATTGATGCTTATGCTTCTTACAAGATTGGCCACAAGCTACTTATGGAATATTGAACTTGTTTTAAGTGCTTTTAATATGTTGCTTACTATGTTGTGTTTTTTAAAAAAAATTTAGTATGTTGTCTTGTCTCAAGCTTTTGTTTATTTCAGCGACGTCTGGAATGATATTATTGTAGTTCCTGTGTTATGTTTTATTAAGTATATTTCTCTTTGTTGAAGTTTTTTGTTTTTACAGTTGTTAATCAAATCTTTTCAATTTACTCATATATATATCCTGTTTAGTCGGACAGAAGTCCCACCTTTAAGTTTTTTTTACCATTATCCTCTATTAGTTCTATAAAATTTTCAAAATCCTTTATTTTTACACATCAGCGCTTATATTATTGTATCATTTAAGAGATTTTTGTCAGTAATAATTTATAAGGGACAAATGATAAGTGTGTAATTTCTGTCTCTTCCCTATTTAGTAATCAAATTATTACTTCATTTTAAAGTTTAAACTATTGTGACTGTTTGAACATTTGTTTATATCTTTTCATTATATGATAATTTTTGGGTTATAACATGTTTACTTTATATGTTGCATATATTACTTGTTTTTGTTCATGTATTACATACCTATAATCAAATCCTTTGTGTCATTTCTCTTTGAAACAAAAGGACTATGTACTAATCTTAAAATAATGTATTTTGGCACTAAAAATTATATATGAAAACATTGGGCAAATCTTAGCTATAACTATTTAAATTAATTACATTTTCTGGCAAAAATTTCATTTGACAGAACATATTTTTCAAATACAGACAATTTTCAAACCTTCGTCAAGTCACGGAATTTAACATTAAGCAATGAAAAAGGTTACAAACCTGTTTTCCATTTATTTTCTTTTGATTTGTTATTTATCTATGTATTGTTTTTGAGGAAGTTAATTTTTCATTTCTGAAAATGTTTGGCAAATATTAAAAACAAGTTAATGAAGTGCAAAGCTCAAAAGAAAATGACTTAACTTAAGTAAGTATGTTTGCATTTTTTTGAGTAAAAATCATTTTGTTCGTCTATTTATTGTTTACTTACTCAAACGTTAAGTTAACGTTCTTACTAAACGACCTTATTCTTTTTTGTAAGGATCTTACTAGATTAGTTAATATTTGGTCGGAAGAAAAATGAATAGAATAACAATATGATTAATATTAATTTTAATGTTAAATTATGTGATATATTGTTTTTTGATTTATCAATTTAGGGCATCAAATTTTGAATTATCATGATAGTAAACAAGTACAATCATATGAAAGGATTGAAAATGTATAAATATTAATTTATATGGACTTTTATGACTGTTATTCAAAATCAAATTGAATTGATAACTCAAATTAAAAAAAGACGATTTTGATAAGAATTTTGATTTTTTCAGTTATCATATTATTAGTTCTTAATGATTTGAGATTATTTTAATGGGTTAATCGATAACTTGATAGTAAATTAAGTAATCAATTTATCAATAAACTTCAAAAGTTAAATCAAACAACCTGAATTTTGAACAATATGTAAAAATACAAAATGATATTGTTCAAAAATATTAAATTTTGAACAACATGTAAAAATACAAAATGATAAATTATTTTTTCAAATAGAATAAATATTATTTGACGACAATTTTTAATATAATGGATATTTGAGATGTACAAAGGAAATATAAGGTAGCTAGAATAAAGCAATTATGTATCTCATTGATCAAATTTATGTATCGTATATAAAATATACTTTAAATTAGTGTATCGTATATAAAATATAATGTATCTTAATTAACAATTGATGAATCTTGCATATCAGATTAATGTATCAACGCTTATAACATTAAGTTATAAACCTGTTTTCCTTTTATTTTCTTTCCATCTGTTATTTATGTAAGCTCTAACCTTTACTGAATAACCATTCCATCTCTCTCAAAGTGGTTGTACCGTTCTAAACAACAAATATTCCTTGAATTTGGTCTATTTCAGATATATTACAAAATGTTCTGTACATCATATCTCAATTTTCTATACATTGTGTCTCTATTTTAACTACATGACTTGACGTCTCAATACATTGCGATACATCTTGTAAAATGATACATCGTGTCTAGATTTTAAATCACCAAATCGCATATATATTAATATCTCGCATAAATGATGTACAAGTAATTTTTATAATGATAAAGAATTTTAGATAATATGAAAAAATAAGTTTTTTTTGTTAAAGAAAGATTCTTGCTTTACCAAGCAACTTTTTATTTTTCGATCATTGATATAGATAGAGTCTGAGAGGAATCAATAGAGAAACTCTTCCCATGGAAGTTGAATGGAAATACTACTAAACCAACAAATTATAACAATGATACATGTAAAAACAGCAATGGAGCAGTTTAAATCTTGAAAATTTCACCTATTTTGCACAGAATATGTGAATACCCATCCAATTTCCTGATAATAAATCTAGGAAAAAACTTTTTTGCATAGAATATGTACACTAATTTTCACATTTTACTCCTTCATTATTATAAAAATAAAATTTTTAGTTTTTATTTATCATGCAAGACATCTTCTCAATTTCATTAGCCCAAACAATTTTATTCCACTTCGAGCAAAATGACATATTTTTAAATACAAATTCTACAAAAATTATTATTTTTAATATAAAAATAATATTTATATTTTATTCTTATACATTTTGTTGAACGGAAAAATAATATAGAAGATGGGTCCGGTCCTACAGACCGCACATAGAAATGGGTATTGGTGTTTAACATTATCTACAAGTGTTGGGAATGTTCCAAATCTTCTTTTTGACTATTATTACAAAACCTTGTCCTAATTTTACTTCTCTTTCAAAACAACCTTCCTCGTTCCCTTTCTCTTCACCATTTCCATGGCCAAATCTTACCCTTCGATGTATGTATGTAAAACAAATCTTTTTTTTTCTTTTCAAGAATGTGTTTCATCTCTTTCTTATTCATGCCCATTTCCAGTTTTCTCATATTTCCCCTCTTTGGTCGTTTTATTCCTGTTTGGGTTTTTCTTTTAAATTTTACGAATATAGCGTTTGAAGAAAAATGGATTTAATTTCTTTGGATTATTTGAAATATAAAATAATTTTAAATTGAAACCCTATTAGGTATTGTGACCAAATTCGTAAAAGAGAAATTTGTGCATTTATACTATCCTTATTTGTGTAATTTGCTTTATTAAATTCCTAGCTGCAAAGGGACCACTCTTATTTTCGAATTTTTTGATTTGTCATTTTCCATGTCTGTAGTCTGTGTTGGTGAAACGAATCTTCCATGTGATTTACATTATCTTCGCTTTGGCAATTTTAAAATCAACTGCAGTTGTATATATGTGTATTTGTGATTTTCTTGAATCCAGGGTTTGTCCTCTCTATCTGCTCTCGCCCAGACCCCACTTGTGGAACTACACCGGGAATGTTGTTTTATATATGTGTGTATATTGGTGTTGTACTTTTATAAAGCTACACTATATTGAGTGCTTGATTATGGCGTTTCTTCAACATCTATTTTGAAGTTTGTCGAACGTGAGTAGAAGGCGTTATCATGTTTTTTATTAGTCTAAATTTGGATAGCCGTTTTAGCTCAAGTAAATATAATTTTAGTGGAAAGAAGCAAGTGTTCATTTGAATGTTTTGGTGTCTTTTGCTTAATGAAAAAAACAGATTAGCTTTTCCATTGTCTTTAGTTTGTGGATGGCTGCAAGTGTCTTTGATGTCACGAAACGCGAACAAATGTGTTGTACATGGCATAGCTTTTTTTTTGAGAATGATAAGTTACACTGGCATAGCTTTTTAGTAACTTTGTTTGTAAATTTATGTTTTTGTTATCAGCTAAAAGATAGACAACAAACACTTTGGGTTAGCTATGGATCATATACAGTCGAGGGAAAGTGATTTCGAGGTAGATTTAGAGAGTGGGGGAACAACTAGTGATGAAGATGGCAGTTATAACTATGATCTGACTGGTGAAATTTCTAATAGAGAGTCGTATAAAGCGGGTAGTGAGTTTCGTGGAGTTCAATCGTGCAATGGATCTGTAAGGAACCAAGACGGTTCAAGTACATATAACAAAAGTTTAAGTGCTGATGAGCTATCATCTGTTAGGCGTACAGAAATTTTGTCAAACAAAGTGAAGGAAGAGATAGAAAAGTTGGGTGACAAAAAAATGAATATCGACAAATCAAGGAAGCCAAAGCCTGCTAAACCACCTAGACCCCCAAAGGGTCCAGCACTGGACGCCTCTGATGCAAAGTTCGTCAAGGAAATATCTGAGCTTGCTATATGGAAGCGTAGAAGGACAGAAAGAATGAAGGCACTGAAGAAAATTAAAAAGGAGAGCGGTTCATCTTCGAGGATGAATATATTAGCAACGGTGATCACAATTCTGTTCTTCTTGATTATTATATTTCAAGGTACGCTTCATATCCTAGGATATCTGAACTTTTAATTTGTCAGCAGTATTGGAAGTATGAACTACTTTATGAACTTCTTCATAAAGTTTGTTATCATGGAGATCTTTTGAATACAAGTATAATTTGTCAGCAGGATAAGTTCATTTCTTTTGTTTTCAATTCCGTTAGTTTGAAGATATATCTGAGTTTTCCTTTACCTACTGAAATGACTGGGGAAAATGAAGATCACAGCTTTTGTTCCAATACTTCAGTATTCAGTTCTTGCGGGATTGTTGAATTCAAACATATATACTGTGTGATTAAAGGACACAGTCCATTTAATTTGGAGCAATTCAATGAAGCTTCGATGATTATCATCCCTTCTGTTTTTCACTATTCTTGTTCAACTTTCCTTATGAGAACTGTAAATGTGATATGAAATGGTAATGGACACCCAGAAAAAACATGATGAGTTTCTAAAGAGATTTAACAAATAAGAAGAAAGGGAGAGATCAAAATTCTAGATTGCAGCAGTTTCCTTTATACAAAACTATATGTCCTTGCTTATTCAAAATGCTCCGAATAAATGCATGAAGTCAATTTAAGTCTGTCATTATTAAGAGCCAAAACCTCTTGATTTGCAAGCTTAAGATTTGCTCTTCCTCTGGTTGAATCATATAACGTCAGAAGCTTACTGAAACTTCTTTTCTTCATTCTCCTGGATGCATGAAAATCTTAAGCTGGTTGAATTGGTTCACTTCTAGTGTGTTTCAATTGTAGCTGCATATATGTTGATGCCATTAAATAAGTTGTTTCTGATTATCCTGTTAGGCATCATAAGGTGACGACTAAGTTGTGAGATGTCATTTGATAATGTCTGTTCAAAGATTTCTCCTTAGACATAGCTGAACTTCAAGAGATATATCACAGTTGTTATAAGGATATGTCATTTGATAATGTCTTGACAGTGGTCATTATCTGTTAAAAACTTCTTAAACTTCGTCTGCTTTTGCAAAACTAATATCCTCTCCTTTGTGGAAATACATGTGTGTTATATACAAACAACAGAAGAAAATTTCAATACGCAGAAGATTAATTTCTAAGTACATTTGCTATCGTTATTGGGGAAAAATTCATAGACACTGTCTGAGGAGTTACTACGAGCTTGGCTCAACATTGATGGGGAAAATAAAAATACTGTTGCACTAGTTACTTGTCAAATGTACAATGTTGTATACTTTTCTGTTATGCTCCCTTAAATGGATTTTATTCTCAATGAAGTGAATCATGATTATGTTTTCTTATGTTACAGGTGTTTTGGGCTCTCGTGTATGACACCAGTGTGTATGTCGCCTTTAAATTCAGAGGGTAGGTTCACATACAACTTCTTTTTAACTTCTCTGTTCGACTGGTTTATGATATGGCATCTCAAACAGTTTTAGAGGGAGTAACTGGAGATTCCAATCCCCGTAATTTATCTCTTTTCCTTCCATCTTCTGTACAGAAATGTCGGTCGTGTGTTTATTTATGTATTGAAATAGAAACTAGCTTTCACAAATTTCTTAAGAGATGCATTGTTTATTAGGCACTTAAACAACTACTGGATCATGACGTTAGCTTCCTTTGTTTTCCTTCATATACACACAGGAATTTTACCATGCAACAACCAACTGCTTAACTGTAAGTCAAAATTGCTAACCTAGGGTTACTTGTCACTTTCAACAAGAAGGAAGCACGCTCAATCATTTTACTATACATATTATGTTTCAGATTAAAGTGCCTTTACGAAAGTCTTGCTGGTAGATTTTAAAGTGTAACTCACAAGTGTGCTGTCTTATCCTCGAATCTTCCCCCGGCCCAAGAAAAAGACAGCAGGGTGAAATGATTCGAGGGGAAACAATGATATCAGCACAAGAGGAGCAGGTCTGATGATTTACTAACTGCCCACTTTTTGCAGATCCAAGGATTGTGGGTTTGGAATTAACGGGGGAACTGACTCGCACAAGTTTTGAATCTTTTGGCTAATAGTGTCTGCTTATTGCATAGAAATGTAACAATTACTATGGATTTTGTTGAGGGTTCCTGATATTTGTAGGTGCTCTTGAGTAGCTAGAAAAAGATACCCTGATTACATGCGCCTGGGCCTCGACACGACTACTGTATCTTAATTTGAGATGTGCACCTTCCTAGTGTTTTGGTTATGTTAGCCCTTCACTTATGCATAGCACCTTTCCTCTATGTGATCCGACTGAGGTCAGATATTATCAAACCCAAAGCTTTTGTTTCTATAGCAGGTGAAAAGATTTTCCAGCAGAAAAAAGTTCAGTCAAACACCGCACGAGAGAAATCTTCAATTTTTGCAGCACTACTATATATGGTTTACTCTTGTAACAAAGCTAGCCTTTATATATCGAGCTTACATATAAAAAAAAATGATAATATGAGATGTATGCACTTCACAAATAATAATCAATAGAAAGAAAATAAAGAGGGCAATTAGTTATTGATGTATATTCATACAATGCAAATGCCTAATTCTTACTTTACTGATCAAAAGACGGTTCCAAACAGGTAGAAGAATCCCCTTATGAAATTTCCATCCTAGTACAAAACATGAGCATCATAGCAGAAAGTTTTTCTTCATGAGAAATACCACCAACATAATGAATTAATTAAGCTTTCACAGGCTCAGCTCTGGGCCTCCAAAGTCCCAGCCTATATTTGTGAGTGTACTTCAGTATCAGCTTCCTCTGCAAACAGCAAAAGCAAAGAGTCAAAAGAGGCTTATGGATGCAAGCAAAAACATAGCACAAAGAATTGATGGTTGTAATTCAAACAACTGCGGCATGATAAGTCGAACAAAGCATAGACCACTATGGCGTGTTACTTATCAGAAAATAGAAAAACATACAACTATGCTTCGCTATTCTCCTCATTTTTTTATGATTGCATATAGAAACTAGTTCCAAGTTCCAACTTCTATGCACCTGTCCAATCATTTCCTACAGTTACACTTTGGTGAAGACTTTGGAACTGTTCACATTGATACTCCAACAAAAAGATTACTGTACTAAAGACTAGAAACTGTTAAATTGGTCACTGCGAAATAGCAGACTTGATCCGATCAGCAAAATTTTCACTTTGGTTGCAGCTTAATGATGTTTTGGTCTCGGTCAGAAAAAATCTCTCGTATTGTCAATCAAGAGTCCTGGAGTCCTGATGTGGCTTTGTCGTCAGTTAATGTTATTCCTTAAAGACACCTTCAATCTTCATATTCATGGGGCAATTAGACCCAAAAAGCTAATTTTTCTACACTTACCGTTCCATTTGTCGGACAGTCCAAAAAGTGATCAATTGTTATTCATTCTCTATGATTGCAGTCATGTTCTTTATACCAACTTGAAAGTATTCGTTTGGGAATACCCAAAGATTGTAAAAAGTAAATAAAAAAACTCAGCCTCTCTTCCCCATACCATCTTCCAGTACCACCTATTTCCCTAGCGATTTTAAAAATGTAGGAATCAGTTTCAGCTGTCCTCACCTGAATCCCAAAATCCATTCTGTGCATAATGATAATACACTGAGACCCGATAAATTAACTTTGCAGTTCGGAGAGTAAACTTCCAAATGTACTAACCTAACAAAACAGACTAATTGATCACTTCAATAGGATAACTTGCATCAGACATCATCTTTAATCACATTACATCATTTAAAATACATGTTTAAGGCTTCAAGCACACCAATAACACAACTTATGTCCTTCCCCCGTAATATCTCATACTCGGCTATGATGGACAGCCAACTACAAAATGTTTTTCAGGTAAAGTTAGGAGGGGTCAAACTTCTCCATGGAGAGCTTCATTTTTTTTTTTTTAAAGATTTTTCACAGAAGAGCATAGTTACCCACTAAATCATATAATAGATTTTAGAGCTTAAAAAGAATTTTTATGTCGATTAACATTTGGATGCACTAACTTACTAACCAAAATTGGATGTGCTTGCTGGGTCCTAATGTTGATCATACTTCGTAATCTTGAATCATTCTTGTAACCAACAATCTAATCACAAAACATCTTTGATAGACACTTAAAAGTATCCATTATTTCCTTAGATAAAAAGGACTTCAGTACTATCTCTTTCTTCAGACTGGCAAAAGAAAGTAGGTCTTTTCTAGATAAAGAAAAATGTAGGCCTATTGACGCTATCAAACGTGAAACTTTTAGGCCCAGATTCATTACACCACTCTATATATGCGTGATTTCATCGCAAAGATGCTTGGAATGTGATATCTCATAAATAGAGAGACACATTGGATATGGAGAGAGCAGAAGACTGGCATTTTCACATTGTAAATCTTCTTACAGCAGATTGTCGGAAAGGGAGTGCAGGCAGTTTCCTTCTCAATATGGATTCTTGGAGCACAAGGACGATTTCCTCTTTTATCTGAACAGCAGAGCAGGGGGATCCGTCTAAACACTGTAAAGCTTAAGGAGAAGGATAATCCACATAATATGGTGCTTAAGGTGCAAGAAAGCAGGAGAGGATGACAATCACTTCACTGTCTTATTGCATACAGATTATGATATGTGTTGTGGAGCATACCCATAGTATGATGTTAGGCACAGAAAGAAAGGTGCTTCTAGCATGGAAATTCAGGAGGAGGAACATGGGAAGTATGTATTTCAGGGCTCATATGGATGCTATAGAAATATAGATTTCGGGGTATAGGTTGAAACACCTCCCACTTTTTCTGACATGATATGGTTATTAAAGTCTCTCGACGTAGAGACTGGGAGATTAAAGGTATGCTTCAAAACCAATCAAGGCATTTCGTTAGCAAAGCATTTAAGAGGAAGGAAAATCTGTTCCTATAGGTCACTGGGAGGCTTTTTGTCTCCGATATATCTTTGGAGCACTTCTGTTTCTCTTGTTAGTGCTGACAACTGGATGTTTTTACTCTATAGAATCGTGTCGAATTGTAAGATTTTCCACCTACTGCAATGCATATGCAATTTCAAAGCTAGACAATCCCCACTAGCTTAACAATATCCAGTGCCAGAAAGAAACGAATGGAAAAAATAAAAACGCTCCCAGTATCAACTCTTTCAAAGGCTTAACCAATGATTCTTAACATTATTCATCATCACATCTATCGAGTTTTTATTACAATGGTGTAACTAGACACTACCTAGAATTAACCATCAGATATGTGTTTTTTCATCTTGACAGAGGAAACACCCACACAGATCTAATCCCTTTGGTTATGAAGAATTACTTCAAAGCTGGAAAGCAGTTACCTTTTCAGAAGAAATATTGGACAAAAATGAAACAAATTAAAAGGTAAGGGGATAAATACTGACATGTTTACACGGGATGCCAAGTTTCTTGAGCTTAAGAGTTCGAGTAACAAGAAGCTTCGAGAAATCTCCAATCTCTGATTCAAGTTTCTCAACGTGCGTCTCTACCCCCTTCCCTACTCCATTCAAAAACTCTGGAATCCCCACCTTCACTGCACCCACCATCTTTCTTATCATTCCAAAATTATGAGTTTCAAAATAAAAATCAATTCTTTATCAAATTTAAATTGAAATTACCTATGTAAGGATTGGATTTGGAAGAAAAGCTAGCGAACCCAGATGTCACAGAGTTTGAAGGTACTGAAAGTAATCTTCTGTTGGACAATAGAATTTGCCTCCACGCCATTGTTGAGCTTCCTGTGAATTGAGAGCTTCTCCGGCTACTTCCTGACGGTTCTGAACAAAACCCTCACACAATTACGCAAAGATGAGAAAATGATCGAAATAGTCCCTAATCTATTGGCTTTGTTTGTTTTTATCCTTTATGTATAACCTTTTGATCAATATAATCCATAATGTGTAAAAAAAATACAGGATTTGATCCCAACTTAAGCACTTTGGCCACGTGCACTTCCCAAAATGTATTAACACATTTTTTTCTCAATTACTTCAATAATAATAAAATAAATAAAACATAAGAGCAAATTTCAGAAATAGCAAACATAGTAAGTACTATATTAGCTTCTACGGTTATAGTTTTCTTACTTGCGCTTCATAGCATTTGACTTGTATAAGTTGTAAGCATCTAATTTATATAAATCTTGCTTGTCGCTATCTGAAATTTGCTTGCTACTCTTTGGCTTGCATGTGAGAGTGGCAAGTGAGATTTACACGAGGGAAAACAGTCTGCTCGTTATAAAAGTGGTTCATGTATGTCCTTACCGTTATACAAACAGCTCACATATACCCCTGCCGTTACAAAATGACTCATATATATACCCTTCGTTTAACGATTAAAAAATTAGTTTTAAATTTATATTTATTACTTGTAATTTAAAAAAATATATATATTTAGGGGTATATGTGATTCTTCTATCAAAGTTCACACTATATTTTATTTTTTTCATATATAAATTATTTTTTGACTTTTTTAATTATAATTATTTGACTTTCTTATCTTATTTTGTTTTTTTCTTTCATTCCTTAGTTTAAAGAAAAAAAATTTAAACTATTTTTTTTGTATATTGTAATTTAATTTCGTATTCGAAGAAAAAATTTGGTTATCTACAATAAGTTTTACAAGAATATTAGTGAAACATAAATAAATTTGATTATCAAAATAATAATTAATTAGTCACTGAAATAAAAATAAAAAAAGGTAAAAAAATATGTTTGACGAGGATTAAATTTACTCACATGGGATTATATTTTTTAGAAAAAAATAATAAAAATAAAAAATAAAATTTTATTTTTTCATTTCCGTTAGAGGAAAAGGGTATATGTGAGTCATTTGTTTACATGTAGGGGTATATATGAGTCACTTTCATAACAAGGGGTATATCAGCTCTAAATGACAAAGTTGAGGGGTATATCAGACCCTTTTCCCTTTATACAAATCAAATATTTGCAATTTACACAAATTAATTGCTCCATATCAAACAATGAAAATATCAAAATTGTAGCTCAGATAGATAAATTGATAAACTTCAGTATGTATATTGAAGGTGGACGAATGTATATTATATATACGTAAATATAATTGTTTCAATATTTTTGCGTATCCAATTACATGGCATGTATGCGGTGATGCAGTCTATTAAGTGTGCATATACAAACTATTGTAATTGTATCGCAACGTGAATAATATATATTAATACAGTAAATTTGAGTGAACGTATATAATTACTTACTGTAATTGTATTCCTACAACAAATTTGAGTGAGCGCATACCAGGGATACCAAACAGTAGCCATGAACAGACTTAGGGCGTACCCCAAATTTCAGTAATTTTAAAACATAATTGAGAAATCATTGAATATATAAACAATATTTATTTAGAACTTGGTAATAAAGTAATTCACAGAAAAATGAAACTTAGTTTAATCAGCAACCCTTTGATTAGGGTGTGCAAAA